ACACTTTTTACACTGACAATAAATTCACTTACTATAACATTTCCATGTAGTGTGATCCAACTTCAACACAATCATAAAAATAAATACTCGAAATATACTCGAAAAAAATACTCGAAAATACGTTTAACGGACGTAAAGACATCGTACCAAGCGAGATTAAACTGCTTCTACTTTTTAAAAATACAGACATCAATGAATTTTTAAGTAAATATGCCGATTTATATCCAATTTTATATCTACAAAAACCTTACCTGATTGAACCTTAATCTGTAAAGCGGGTATTACGAAAAATCAGAAACTTCATCTCTTAAATTCCATGGTCGTCGACCCGAAGGTCCTTTCACTTTATGCATGACATCATTCTGCCGTCTATTCCAAGAATAGCACACCCTTTCCGCGTCGAAAACATTACGCGGGGTACCTGTGGTTTTGAATCAAAGCGAGGCAAAATTTGCTCTTCACTATATGTAATATGTCATGTCCTAAATCTTGTCCCTCTCAATAGTAAAGTTACTAAACATAAAAATGTTTTCTTGTGTAATTTCCAGTGTTAATTGTGAATAGTGACACTCAAGTACTCGTATTACAAGATTCTTTCAATAGAAGTGAGACTAAGTTTTAAAGGTCGGTAAGGACTCGTGTGCTAAAATTTCAAAAACATCGCCATAAGGAGAGTAAAAACGAATGCATCAAAGGCAAGTGAAAGCCTTTGGTTTCAGGTTTTTTTCAGTTTTAAAATTTCAAAAAACATCGTCATAAGGAGAATAAAAACGAATGCATCAAAGGCAAGTGAAAGCTTTAGTTTTAGTTATTTGTATTTGTCAATTTTTCGAAAATACCTTTTTAGTAAAGGACGTGAAATATTCAATCTATTCTCTCTCTCTTTTTTTTTTTTTCAACTAGGACATGTATGTATCATCATTTACACAATTCAAGCTATAGCATTAAACGATGAAAACAGTTGCCTTTTACTTTTTTTTATTAACAATTTTATGAGAAACATTTCGGTCGATACATCGATTTCCAGTAGGGGGCCTGGACATCTCTGAGACTTATAAAACAAATACGTGATAATCATAAACAAAGAAACTTAGGGGCAACTATTTTTAACGTTTAGTGATAATACAATATATCAAAAATACATTGGGAACTGAATGAAGACTGTTGTCCTGCATAGTGTATGTACGCGCCATCTGCGGCACGCTAGTAGATTTACTTAAATGACTATTCTACAGGGGCGGATCCAGCTGGTGGGTGCAGGGTTTGCACCCCCACCTCCTCACCCCTGAGATCTGTATCCTTCAATACTTTCCTTATTTTGTATCTTCATGGTAATGATTTTTTTGTGGAGTGCACCCCCTACTGAGTGCCCCGCACCCCTCGCTGAGGAAAAKCCTGGATCCGCCCCTGTTCTATATAAACCAAATTGCTTTTCCGCGAAAGTACAGRGCTGACATTAGTGCATGCATTTGTGTTCGTTTCGTATATTCTACAATACTATTATAGTACTATTATATTATGAATCAAGACTACGCGTGTCATCATCTCTCTTTGTTTATGCAGGACCTTGATTTTTTTTAGTGAACGAAAACTCCAAGTCAATCATACAGGGTTGCATATTTTGCCATGTTACAAGACATTTCCCACATGTCTACGACATTCTTGACTTTATCCTTTTTAATTAAACCTCTCAGCTTATTTTGCTTGTGCAATTCATCGATAGCTTCCAGAGCCTTTGTTTTATCCAAGTCCCCGGGATGGGCAACTTCATTTCGTAAACGCCTTAGTTGTTCCAGTACTTCAGCCTTTTCAGGACTCCATTGAAAATCAGCTTGAAACTTGTTCCAGTTCTTTTTAGCATTCTTTCGCCGTTTGTCGTCGGGGATATCACATATTTTTATCTCCATCTTTGCCAGAGAATATTCGGGATAGTAGTCATCGTAATTTTCACCCATTACGATGTAGTAGGCGTTTTCGCGGAACTGAAAGGCCAGCTGTGCGATGAATAACATGTGCGAATCAACGTTCTTTTCCAAGTTTTCAACTTAGCTCGCAGCTGCTGGCTTTTTCGTCATTTAATTCCTTTTTCAATGTTTGGATTTCTTTTTTCAGATGATCATTTATATCTTGCAGTCTTTTAATCTTTTTTYCCAATTCATCGATTTCTGCTTTGCGATCTTCGTTCTTTATTACTAGTTCTGTAATTTTTCTGTTCAGTTTTTCAATTTCTTGCTTGTTTTGGTGAATTTCCTCGTCCTTTTTCTTTAGTTCCTTTTCTTTTTCTTTCAGCATTGATTTGTATTTCTTTATATCATTTTCATAGTCGAAAATTGGTCCGTTTGCCTGTTGTATACGTGCCATGCTACACAGTTCACACCGTGCTATTAAAATAAAGAAGTATGATTATAATCATTATTATTATATGATTATCGATGAAATACCTATATTTCTCTTTCGAAAAGTTGCTATTTTCACTAGTGCAAATATATAACATTTGAGGTTTCTCTATATATTGAAAGAAAAAAAATAGGATTTGCTTTCATTTATCATTATATGATAAACAGAATATTATATTACATGGGCACGCAAAGATACGAATTTCATCTATTCTCGTGTTGAAAATCTCTAACCCGTTTTCAATCTTTTCAAAACTCCAAGATAAAATCCGTATCTCCGCGCGCCCATGTAATATCCTCTATATATCCTCTTAAATGATGAATATTTCAAGTGCACCTGAAAACCCTTCCTAGAAGGCATTTTCTATCAAAAGGAGACATCTAATTCTTCTATAAATTTGGAATATTTTTTAGTTATTTATGCGATGTCATCAAGGAATAGCCGACTTGCGAATTTTACCTCAGTAGGTCACGCAAATCAAGACGATTAAAGCCCAGTCAATTTGCCAGAAAAAAGACAGGAAGCCCGAGAGTTGTACTGACGCCTGTGGAAGAGGCTAGCTGTGGAGGAGGCTAGAGTACAGCGACCGTTCCGCAGTTTGAAATGTTTTTATAGACAATACGTTACTCATTCATTCAGTAGTCGATATAGAAGGTCACGCTCTTTAAAAATAGTTAAACTGTAATCACACAGTCTATTTCTATTTCCGCTCTGAATATGACATTTGCCTTCAAAGATGATTTTGACTTTGAGGTTCACAAACAAATTCTCTTTACTTGAGACTCGTGACCGCAATCGCTGAACTAAACATATCATTATTTATTATGTATAGTTATGGGTAATTAGAATTTGACATTTCTCGCGATTGTTACCTGCTGCATTTTTATCCACTGTATTTGACTGGCGCTGTACTGAATACGCAAAGCATCAGAATTCAAAATCATCCTATGTCATTTGAAAGCTAGGTAATCCAGAAGCTGTGAAAACAATTTGTTCCACAACAAACGAAACACATTCAGTCTAGTACTCAGTTTTTGAACACATCTTATGGGATCCGCGAGTAAAGCTAGCTTGAAGTTTAATTGTCAATAAAATTAAGATTTGTATATCTGTAATAATTGATTAATTATAAAAATCAAAATTATTGATKAAGTATTCAGTTAGTAATATGACTAATTATGGCCGGAATTTGAACAGTTTCCATACGTCACTTTCATCTTACAATATCATTAAATTCAATTTTAATTAACTTCATTAATGAGGATCAAATTTCAATAGATGATTTACTGATAAGTATCAGTTTTCAAGATACTTTCCAATCTTACCTCTACAACGGCTTGACTGGAGGAACCCAGTGTTTCTTTGTGAGTACAGCTCAAAGAGTACTGTTCTTTTTAATGCTCCTTACGTCATTCCCTCTCCCTTCCCTCCCTTCTCTCCCCTCCCTTAAACTAATGATAGAGATGACTACTCGTCTACCTTTTCTGCTTACAACCTCCTGTACAATATTCTACATACATAAATAACTAGGTCTCCACTGTATTCCCGGTGCATTAACTGTGCCTGGAAGTACGATTGAATCTAATGTGACTTCACCATTCATTGTAAAATGACTCATCGCTCGTTTCCTCACATTCTCTACCCTTGAGAAAATTAAGACGCTCCCTCCCCTTCCTTCTTAATATTARGATATGTTAAGTCTAAACAAGTTTTTATGGTCTACGAACTCGCGGTCACCACAGATGAGTCTTAAAAATGTTTATGAAGCTTCCTYTTTTTCATGAATATATTATTTAGTGAATTCTATAACCTTTGAGTTCATAGTTTTSTCTTGAAAAGCAATTAATCAGTTAAATCCAGTAGTGAACGTGTTGGACAGCTAACCTCAATCCAAAGAAGTAAAGATTTTGTAAACAATATTGGTAAAATACGTCTATGCAAGTTATATGGCGAATTAGTTCGACCTCCATGACGTCTGTACGAATAGAGTGCAGTCGTTTGTAACTTCAAAAGTTGTAGATCTCGTATCAAGGTGTCTTTCAAAAAATTAGTATCGAGAGTTGCATTCATATCTTGGAATGAAATCAAGAGAGTGAACTCAAGTGAAATGTTGCTTGCTAAAACTCGCGGAAACCAATAAAAGGAAATTTTAGTCCTACTTGCTCAGACACGTTACATAAACTAAAGTTACTTTGACCTGGCTCATTATTTTGTAAATAAATTCAGCGTCATTCAACTAAGAGCATATTTTTAAAATATGCAAAATGAGTGTTGTTGCTGTTTTAATCCAGGTCGCAGCTGTATTCTTCGACACTGAAAAATCACTATATCCCAAGCGCAATTTTTGTATGTTAAGTTTGTCATAGGTCAAAAAATTCAAGAATGGTTGATTTTCGCGATCTCTTTTACGCTGTGTCAACCTAACTGTGAGTAAAATGTATTTTGCATGAGCTTCCAAAGGANCGGTTTTCACAGTTAAAATAACACTGCACAGCATGGAACTATTTATTTATATAGTAAACAGACAGATATAGATAGTTGTTTAGATATTAATCAGACACAACAATGCAGTCAACCGCTCTACAGATAGTAAACGCTGAGAAACTCCTAAACAATCTTTAATACAATGGCACGGACAGCACTAGGATTTAACCCGTCTAAGTCATTATGCATAGCCTTGTCAGGCTTGGTTCTAGGYGTGATTTTACTGATCGCTGGAGGAGTAATCTTTGGGACTTTCCAGCAACGATGYGAGCCGTCTCCTACCGCTACCACGCAAATCGAGAAACGTGGACGCTCGTGTGAGCTATCCGAAGAAGCAAAGCGTAGTGGATTTGGAACTTTTTTGGACAAAGTTAAGGCAATGTACTATGAATTACATCCTTTCAAAATCCATTATAATTCCGACTTGTGGTATAAGGATGACTTTTCAGATCAAATCAAGGCTATTTACATTTCTTATGACCCCTCACCCGAAGCCATCAAGAGACGAACTGACGCATCGTTTAGGCTTTTAAAAGAAATGAAGTCTTTGGACATTTCACTTGAAAAACTTAAGGGAAGAGAAAGRAAGGCTTACTCTAAAGCTATGTTATACCTCCAGCAAGTATTTGGACAGCCATTCGAAGTGAATTACTATGCGGGGGATTGGATGCTTGGCCSGGATTCATTTTGCTACAGTACAATATGCTACATGGGTTATGACTTGTATAATTCAATGTTATATCACGTCCCTAAGAACCTTAAAGATGTAGAACTTGTCAAATCTAAGCTTATGTCCCATCAGAAGGCGCTCATCCAGTATGTGGAGAATTTGAAAATGGGCGTGAGGAAGGGGATGGTCAGGAACATTGAGTCGTGTAAAGCTGGACTGGACGCCTTTAAGATTGAGCACCCGCAGATTTCTCTCAATAGTGCAAAAGGTAGAGTTACATGTGGAAAATTGCAGCCTAGCACACATGACACCCATCGAAAGTGTTCTTCGGGATCGTGTGCGCAGGGGTTACACGATAGGCAAAATGTGTGATGTGTGGAGGGAGGGGTAGTGCTCCGGTTTCAAAACTATGAAGAAGTCAATTGACTGCAAAGTTGGGATGTACACAGAACCAACTGTAGTGCTATCAGAAAGTGTCGTCTGCCAAATAAGAAGGTTTCCGCTTCTAGAACCACTCCCTTGATCTCGCGATTTTGTGACGTCATGAATGTCTGAAACGGGGAATTTCGAAAACATTGGGACCAGGGTTAAGAAAAGCCGGAATGCGCGCTGCCCCCCCTCGATGTCGATGCAGAAAATATATATCAACACGAGCATACATTTCAAGAACATTTTGATGAGAAGTTGTAAATACTTCTTTTACGTAACAATGCAATCAAGGACTGAGTTGACAGTTTAACAGGCTAGAAGCGAGATGTGAATGGTAGCATGCATTTCATGTATATATGCATGTCATCAAAAGTAATCAGCTGAAATGTTTTTTTTATATAGTGCTCATGGAGAAAAGAGGACTGAACCAACCCTTCCATACCCTAAAATAAATCATTTTTGTCTTTAAGGAGTATTAAAAGAGTGGTACACGACATTTCTCCTGTCTCCAAAATTCTACATCAACATAACCAGTGGTATGAACGAGGAGTGGACGAAAGCGCACGGTATGAATGTCAGTGAATCAATCAAGAATTATCTCTTAGAGTATTTTGGAAAACCGCTGGCAGATGTATTGAGGTAAAAAATGAATTACAAGCCTTTGGGGCGCGAATTTACACTAGCAGGCCACGCTCTCCCATCCATCCTCTTTAAGTGAAGTCAAAAACGATCGCAAGATATAGTGAGGTTCAATGCATGACATGAAAGGTTTTATTAGAAATGGTTTGCCTGACAAGCAGTGTTGGATCCAGGGGAGGTAAAATATTCAGCTCAGCAGCTTGTCATTTATTTAATACCACATCATTGTATCTTCATGCACAATAGCTAGACTTAGTASCCTGGTTGAACGTTATCATCTCAATTACTGGTTCCTTATTACCATAGGTATCTTGAAGACGATCATGWGCGTCACTGCGTACCGAGTAACGTTTCTAGCGGCTTAGCAACCCTTCCATTAAAATACGTTTATCTTGATGGAAAAGCAAATATGTCGTGGCCAACTGACCCAACCCTACCCCTGACTGACAAAGTTTTAAATGGAACAGAATCTTACGCRAAGATTATGCCATATTTTACGACCAATGAGATGACACCAGATGAGGTTTACAAGTTAGGATGGGAAATGCTGAACAAACTGTATCCAAAGGTATCGTTGTCTTTAAAATGCTGTTTGTTTCACGCTTGTTTCATACGTTTCTTCATTCGTTTTTTCTTCATACAGCGAATGTGTTTTTCATAAGTTCTTTTTATTCTTCTTGCTGATTTTATTTACATTATTTTCACTGTTTTCTTTTCATCTCAGTTAATTTTTTTTCTGTGTTTCTTTTTTCGCTCCCTTTATTTCATTAGCGATGCTTTCTGATCTCACTCTTTTCCTCCCTCCCTCTCCCAAAACCTTTTTTTCAGTTTTCCTTACTTCTTACTTCAGGACGTTCTTTACCTCTTTTCTCACCCCATTACATTCTCTCATCCTTTTCTTTTCCTATGATTTTATATTTGATTTTCTTCCGTTCTTTCAGGCGGCCTTCGTTGCTGCGCTTTTATGAAACTCTTCTATTTTCTCTCTCTGATTTTCCAAACTGGGCTTTGATTACTGCAGCCACTTGAAATATACGCTCCCATTTCTCGTTTCAGGCTGTTCAGGTCGCAAGGGAAGTTACTAATATTTACAACGACAACGATACTGCTGTTGCGGAATTTCGAAAAAKTCTGAACTCATCGCAGAGCTACTTCAACGAGGAACCTTTTCCTAAGAACGAAAGTGACAAATTGGCCAACCGTAGATGTARTACTGTTGAAGGTGCTAAGAAATACTGCCCTTCACGATGGCGGGCAATGCAAACATGGTTTAGTGAAGCTAGAAAGGTGAATGAATGGATGAGCGTCTGGCCGGGTATCTGTGGAGGCATCGGTG